AAAAAATTGAAACATATATAGAATAAAACCACTGTTTACACTGATTGCGAATAGTTTTGCTTGTCTGAAGAAAACTTTCTTCACTTCAAATATTTTCGCAGGTTTTCGTTACAAATCATGTATAGATTTGTAACCAGTGAAGAGCTCTATCAATTAGTATTTAACTTAGATTGAAAAAAGTCTAATCAAGTACATAGGATGGTCTATACTTGATCATGATTCCTTACTGAATTGGTATTCAACAAGTATTTTAACAAGATCTTGCTTTTTTTTTTTACATTTTTGGCAGCTAATTGTTATACAGGTTTTTCATGGCTCATCCATTGATATATAATACGTTTAATTTGCATTAAGTAAGAAGTATATACGTCAAGAAACACATGTGAGATTTGACAATCTAGGATTTCTCTATGTCGCACTTAAAAAAGTTGAAAATATAATTACGTACTGAACCTATAAATATCTAATAAAATCATTCAAAAAAATACAAGTTAATAGTTTCCATCACCATCATCTTTAGTAGTATATGAACAGATCATTAAAATTCAATTTAGTTGATTTCTCTATAAATTGTCATCTTTCCTTTGACAAAAACTTGTTTCGAGTATGAATTACACTATTCAATGTAGATTTTTTGACTGATTCTGACTATGATATTTTGTTTCTTTTGAAACTCAAGTATTGATCATGAATACCTCTGAATACAAAATCCATTTTTATAATTCCAGCATATACAATAAAAGCGATTTTCTCAATATAAACTTTTTTGATTACTTTGAACATCAGTTTTACTACAAAAAGAACACTTTCATATATGAACGAACAAGCTCTATCCAACAATGATCAAAAATGATGTTTGCTCAAATTTCGTATTACCAGTACGTTACAATCAATCGTATCCTGAAAAGTTATTTCAATTATCAAAAAAAAAAAATTAATCGATGCTTCCTTTTATCTAAAGTCTCCTATGATAAAAAAATCCATTTTGACTTGTTAACATAAAATGTCAAGAAAAAACCCCGCTGCTTATAACATTCATTTTCATTTTGAATATTGTAAAGTTTTTCTTTTTCTACCAATCATAACTCTTAAAACAAGTACGAACAGTATATTTCAAGAGTTGAGTCAGTCATTGTACGACACACTTCTTATGAATCTCGATAAGTGCTTACTACTAATGTATGAACAAGACGTGTGTGTACATACATCGTTATTCAAAAAAAAAAAAGGAAAAGGTGAGAATGTCTTCAAGCCATTTCGTTTTCTCTCAACATATCGATGTTTAACAACATCATCTTACAAGAACAACATTACTAACCTATTCGAACTATTAAAAAAAACAATAGAACACTTATTTTACATACCCATCACATGCATAAACGCTATAATGTTTGCCAGATGAATTGTCATGACAAACTGAACATGGAACATTATACAATATTCGACCTATTCATCCGAAAAGAAGACAAAACAAAATAAAAGTTTATTAAAATAAAAAATCTAGATAATGTTAAATACCTCCACTCATAATGCCAAATAAATTCAAAGTAATGTTGTATGTGATAGAATGACTTTCGACTAAAAGTTCTGTGCTCTCTTTTTTTTCTCTGCTTTCACCAACTATTATATTATATTTCAATAACAACACCAACTTCGATTCGATTTCAAGTGGCAGTATGTTTGACAAAATAACCAATCCGAAAGCGATGCGCGAACTATGAGAAGGATTCAATCAGGCAAAAAGGTAAATATGAGAAAAAGAGAGAGAAACAGAGAGAGAGAGAGAAAAAAGAGACTTAACGAATGCTGTTTCGACGTTCTGAAACGACTCGTGTCATGCAAATTATAACGATAGGGAAGCAAAGAAAACATAAACAAGTTGAAGCTTTTTTTTTCGTCTTTGATTTTCGTATGTTACTTATAAATCAATAATATTTGATGACTTCATCAATATGACGATCTTCGATTTTTTGATGCATTGATCGGAAAATTGAAATTAACAACGATGTTTCAAATATAAACAATGTTTCAAGATGAATTCTAATAAAAACGAAAAAAGAAAAGCAAAGTTCATTAAAAAAAAAAATCTTTTTTTTTTGTCTTTGAACCATCGATTTTTAATCAAACATTATATCCAAAATTAAAATTATGATAAATAGTCCAATTTATAATAAATATTTGTATTATCTATATACATATTACAAAAACAAAATTATCCTATTGAAATTCGTTCTCTCTTTTAAAAAAATTGTTTTCTGTTTTGATTTCATAATCCAGTTTGATCGAAGTCTAATCTTCTAACAAAATTACTTATGCCGTTTGATATTTTATTCTTTACACAGAAAAATCAATAAGTAATTCATCGTACTTATAAGACTGCATTTCCAGGCATCAAAACTCAAAGCCGATAATATGTAATGAAAGATCTGTAATAATTGGTTTTTGTATTGTTCAATTTTTTTTAATGAAAAAAAAGTAGTTCATGTTAATAGAATCCATCTATTTCGTATATTTCAAATTTTGTGTCGATCTATTAAAATGAAAAAAAAAATTCGTCAATATGCTAATGGTTGTTATACATAAACAAAGTTTGCACAAAAAAAAAAAAGAAAAAGAAGAAGTAAGACGCGTGCCGATTCATTGATGACATTTGTAAGACTTTTCTTGTTATACATAGATTGCTTGTTCCAAGAGTGCCAATCTCAAGAGTATTACTTTTATTCTGTAATCAACACATTTCATGCGATAAAACAAATACGAAAGAAAGAAAAGAAAAGAAAGAAGCACAAGTCTATCATTTGTTTAAGGTGAGCTAAGATTGAAGGACTGTTTGACACAACAATAATAATAATGAATGGAGAAGACTAAAAATTTTCAAAATTCAGTTTCTTTCTTTTTTTCAGACTTACAGCAAAGAACAACATATTATCTAGGTCATCATACAGGTCAAAATATGTAAATCAATGATTTAAACAAAAATATTCGTCTATCTACTTTATAGTTTTTTAAAGAAATTCAATGTCTCAACGATCTTTTAGCGTCCTTCTTTTTGCTTAGAACTCAGTTGAGTTATTCAAACATGGTAATCTTATAGATGTGAATAAATTATTCGTAAATTCTAATATCATATAACTAAATGAATTTCCAGATTGATATGCATTTGTTTGATATTTAAAGATTGGATAAATACGGAAATAATGCCATGCAGAATACTCAAGAACTTTAGAACGATATTATAGCGTCAAATGTCATAACATTGGTATGTGAAGACACCCATAAACAGAATAGAGAAATTTCCTTTGTTTTTCAAAATGCCATAGCCAACATAGCTGATTTATCAATACAATTGATAATTCATACACATTCTGTCTACATTTGAATTATAAAAGTAAATACTTCCTCGAAATTAAAATTTTCTGTTTAATTGAAAAAAATAAAATAAGTGATAGTTTGATTTTATGTTTATATTATTCATTCCATAATATGTAATAACAATCACCAATAATTAAAGTCTTGAAGGCATGAAGAAGGAATAAATTGTTATTAGAATAACATCTGTTGATATCTCAATAGAACTTTTACAATATAAACATGTATATATTTAAATATGTATTCTAGCATTTTTATCAATTAAATTCAATACAAAAATCAATGCGAAAATTTTTTCACCATTTCATATTTGCAATATCTTTTATTTAATTGGAAACTGTGTTAGTTTTTATTTTCTATATTCATTGAAATCTGTTTCACTAAAATGTATTAACTTGAAAAAAAAGATCACTGGAACACAATTTTTATTATTGACATAAAAAGATATAATAATTGATTATTAATAGCAATCCAATATTCTTTTTCTTTTAATTTTTTTCAAGTGTTATTCACATAAAATAAAAATTTCTAGATTTAAAAACATTTTTGTAACCGACAGTTGTCGTCCATAGATGGCATATTTACAATACTGAAATAAAGTTGTCCAATGTTTTTCAATTCAAATCTTGCAAAATCTACTGTTTTACGCTCTACTGGTATTTTCTTATTGAGAAATATTGAAAATAAATAAACTTCATGCAATTCAAACAAATTCTAATAAAAAATAATCGTAGAGATCAGTGGTAGATTTAAAGGGCAGATATTAAAAGCGAACGCCAAAAAATAACTCGCCACGACCACTAACCGACTTCAAAACACGTTTTGTGACCATAGTCATGTTCCCTCCCTTGCCAGAAATCTAGATCCGCCACTACTATAAATGTGCAGAATAAATTTATGTCCAGTTCTATCGATGCTACAAAACTTTTCTCTACTCAAAATAGAACAAGATATAATTACCTGCAATCTTGACCAACTATTTCTCTTGTTAACAGTCTATTCTATATCTAGATCTATGCTAAAGACCAACGATTATGAATGTGATAGATAAAGAATTAGAACAGCATGAGAAAAGAATTAGATTCGACATTCTCTAAATAATATCTGCTATACAAATTGAAACGTTTACTTGCAAGAAAAAAAACATATCCTGTACATATTACTAGACTAGACATAATCAGATGGCTTACAATGGTGTCGAATTCTAATTGATTATCATTCGCCGTCTGCAATATAGATTTTACTCATTCAATGACACGAGATATGTGATTTTCATAAAAAAAAAAAAAAACAAAATACTAAATAAACATCGTTTATATCAATGAAAAAAAGAAATTTTTGTTCTGTCAATTAAATGAAATTCACTTTGTAAATCTGTCATTATCTTTTTTTGTACAAGAACTCACATCTTCTGACAGTTATACAGAACAGATTTTTTGTTATATAATGTAGACAATGTGTGTAGAACAAAGAAGAAAAAGGAAAAAGAAAAAAAAGAAAAATTAACATCTAACAACAACAATATAATGAACATATGAATGTAAGACGAAAACGAAAAGAGAAGAAAAAAAAATTATCAAGACTAGACACAAAGAAAAGGAACAAAGAAGAGATTATTTATCAAATATGTTCTAAGCAAATGGAGGTACTGCTGGACCGGATTGTTGATGATGTACAACAGATGATGTGTCTGAATTAAAATAATATGAATCAAAAGATACTGGTGGACGTTCATAAGATGTTGGAGGTATATAATTTGTTTTTAGATTATTTTCAACACCATTTGTATAATAATGTGCTGGATCAAATGATGGTGTGGTTGATTGTTTCAAACAATAATTTGTTGTCATTTCATACATATCTGTTGGTGTTGTTGTATTATAATCAATTTGTTGTTGAAATGATTTTGAATAATTTGATGATGATGATGAAAATGCTACAGACATTGGTGGTGGTTGTGCTTGATAATATGCATGATGTTGTGGATGATGATGATATGGACGAAGAGATAAAGATGAATTCAAATCATCTTTTTCTGTTGTTGATGTAGCCAATGGAGAATTATTTAAACCAATACCACAACCACCACCATATGGTGTACGACCTTTGCCATCTTTTTTATCTTTCATTCGACTATTTAAAAAAAAGAAACCAATACAGAAAATAGAAATATTATCAAAAAAAAAAATTTTAACATACCGATTTTGAAACCATATCTAATAAAAAGAAAGCAAAAAATAAAGATGTTATTTAGTATTTGTAAGAAAAAAAAAAGAATACTTTATTTACCTTAATCTATAAACGATCAATTGATATTAAAATTAAAAGAAAACATGAAAATAAATTAATTATTTCTTTAATTAAATTAGTAGCGAAGCCAGAACTTTGAGCTAGGTACAGAAAACTGAGCCATACTTGAAACTAGACCAGCTGGTCCAATCTAATACCAAGTATGAACTGAGCCCACTCTGGCTTTGCTACTGAATCAAATTTTATTTGTTGTTTTGTTTTACCTGTCGTTCAGTTAAACTAAGTGCTTGTGCTAATTCAATCCGTCGTGGACGATTCAAATATTTATTATAGAGAAATTCTTTTTCAAGTTCAACTAATTGAGCACTTGTATAAGCAGTTCGCGCTCGTTTAGATGGTGTTGAATTGCTTTTATCTATGATAAAATAAAAAAAAAAGAAAACAACTATCTTAACTATTGATCAATACAGAAGAAAACTTTTTCTCTATTTAGAGCAATGACAAGACTCAATGTTCTGTATCCTATTCGCTCGATGAGAAAGCGGCGGTATTGGATGAATAATGATATGGTCATTTATCATCGTCAATAGTAAGAGATGCGAACGGGCGCGCGCGCAAGCGCAAGCGCCTGTCAGTAAACGAAGATGAAAAACATGTATAGGTCGAGACAAACAAGCGGTTAGATTTATTCTCGATGATGAGAAGACCAAATAACTATTTTCTATAGGTTCTTCTTAATGTCTAGATTGTTTCTTCTTAATCAAATATATGTTCATGGTGAATTCTATTGAGAATTGTAATATGGATGACACGCGAACAAAACTAATAACATCACCTGATGTCCATCGAATAAATTGATCAGAATAAATTAAATCATTTTTACGTGTTTGCTATGCGTGTCGAATGAAGGACACCTTTACATGTCGCTTTTTTTTTACTGCTAAATCTATGAATTTTTCTCACTTATTTATATTCTATGTTTCCAAAAACAAAACTGTTGACCCTTGAAGATTTAACACTTTTCTTCATTCTCATCTTCACACTTAAGTTTGTTTTATTTTGTAATTTTATTTTATTTTTTTTTTGTTAGAAAATTTTACCAGATGATGATGAAGATGATGATGTTGATGTTGTATTTTGTCCTGATTGATTTTTTGAACCATTCTTATTCTTATTTGTTCCATGTTTTTTATCACTCATCCATGGATAAATTTCTTTTGGTTGAGGTATTGTTGTTGAATTGAATTCATTTGATGGTGATGATGAATTTTTAGTTGATGTCGACCGAGATTTCGATGTTGATGATGGTACAGTTTGAGGTGTTGTACCTGTTGATGGTAATGGACTAAGTTTTGGATCAATTGTTGGTTGAGATATTCCATTACAATTTATTCGATTTGTATTATTTGTATTATTAATAATTAAATTGACATTTGTATAAGAATTTGCTGGTAAATTCATATAATAATCAAGCTGTGGTTGTTGTTGATGATGGTGATGAGTTTCCCATGACATCGATTGCAGTTGATGCTCGTTTTTTACCATTATTTCGTGTGCTGCTTTTCTTTTCAAGGCAAATAAACAATTACAAAATCAAGATAAATATGCTTAAATATCGATGTTGATAATTACAATTTGGACAAATAAGTTGTCGTTAGTAATTGAAATAATTGTAATTTAAATGAATATATCGAAATATTGTTAATGGAATGTAATGTAGGCAATTAATTATGAGTAGGAGAAGAGACGATTTTTTTTCCTATATGAAAAGAATATATTCTATATTATGGACGAGTAATTTCTTCGTTATTTTCTCTGCTTCCTTCTCTGTCGTTTATGTGCGCAATTGATTCTTATTCGATAAAAAAAGAATATCAATAATAACCAATCAGTATTGAGAGAACAACAAAAAAAAAAAATAGGTAATATTCCGGTTTCTTTTTTCTTTTTTCGAAAAATTATTCGATGAGTATGGAAGTTCTTATATATTTGTCCTTTCACTTGTCATAGTACCAAGAGATGTGTTAACAGTCCAATAAAATAAATCAATGATCAAATAGATGTTTTAATCAAAAGGAAAAATATGAATGTCTTCTTATGTATTTTGAAAATTGTACAAAAAGAAAAATTCGATAGAATTGGTGGGTTTCACTTTTTTTTTCCTCTTTTTTTTTTATCATACTCTCATGGTCTATAGGCAATGTTGATTGACGAGGAGGTGTTTCTAACTTGCCAGGTTTGATTTATGGCATTCAAAAGCATATTTCTTTCTTTTTTGTGTATATTACCTGTTCGAAAGACAGATATAATTACCTTATTTCGTTCGGTCCAACCATAGGCTACGCATGATCAAAATGCATTCATTATCGTTGACAGAAGTTATTATTGCCTTTTTTTTCGATATCATGTTGTGTATATGTATGCACAAAAAAAAAATAGCAAAAGTAAACGCCTACGATTCATCTAAATGTACTTTCAATATGCATTCTTGCAAAGAGATGTTCATTTGTATTGTAATGCAAATTAATTACAACACTTGTTAATTTTTATTGAGAGTTTATTGAATTATTGTTTTGATCTTTTTTCTTCTTTGACACAATTTGAAAAGGATATTGAAAAAAAAAAGAAAAGAAAAAGAAATTTCTTTCTTTCTTGCCTTTATATTGGTTAATACAATGATGACAAGACGGAAGTGATGAAAGATTTTGATAGGCGCACATAGACAGATATTCCGAGAAAGAACAAGGTGGTACACATTATTCATTTGTCAAAAGAAGATGAATGATACTAAGCTTGTTAGAGATAAATCAGATAAAAACTTTTCTTTGTCTTATTATGCATGATTTCCTTCTTTTTTTTTTATTTGTGCATATTTGTTTATACAGATTTTCTCATTTTGTGATGTTCTATCATATTATTTCGGATATCCGGATGATGTCATTTGCAATCAACCTAGAAGTATTAAGACAAATCTTATTGATAAGATGCAAGAAAATAAAGAATTAAACCTTCTCTATCGAGGTTTTAGTATTAATTTTTATGATAGATTCTTTACAAAAATACTTGAACGTGTTTAATACGAAAAAAATCATCTTGAAAACTAAAGTGAATTGAAAGAGAGAACACTAAAGACGATTACTATTCTTCCAAAGAGTTTTCTGGGTTTTTTTTTCTAGGAGAAAAGGTTCTAAAATGAGTTTTAAAATACATGTTATGATTATGATCGGTCCTCTTCTCCACCGAAGCACCACATATCATAAAATGTGACATCTTCCATTATATTGAAGCTACTACGTATTGCAATTTTCGAAAAACTTTTGTTATTGACTACAGTTACTCCTTTCTAAACGCAGCAGTCAAATTTTTCATTACTCAATTACATAGAAAAAAGAAAAGGAAAAATAAAATTGTGCCTTTGATTTTTCTTTCAATACAAAAATAAGGAATCGATCATTGCACGCGTCTAGTCTAGTAAATATAAATCTACGAAACAATACTCTCTTTACAAGAGTGATCGAGCGGCACATAAACACAGAAAAAGAATCTTGCAATATTTGCTCGTTGAATATTACTGTTCTTGTTAAAAGTGGCGGCATAGGGGTCCCGCCTTTGCTCAATGAGCCATACAGGGATGTGAAGTCAACTTTTTAGCGAACAAATAATAACACCTGAAGAAGAGAAAGATCACATCTTCTCTGCAAGTAGACACATACTTGACTCACTTTCTCTCTTTTCTGACAAATACAAGCGGCGTAATACTGATGTAACACAATTATATAGAGAAGAAAACTGTACGAATATGCCGCCTGTCAATCGATCACCAAGAAATCAAAATAGCCAACAGGCAATTTTTTGATCTCTAGAGTAACTGATCAAATCGATAGATTTCTTTTTCTTTCTTTTTTTTATTTTATTTTATTTTTTAAATCTTAATCATCAATATCTATAAAACAAAAAAAAAAACAAAGATTAGACAATATTTGTCGGCTTTTTAATTTTCTTAAACAAGACAAAAAAAAATATGTTAAGTGTGGAATTAAATTAAATCAAATTAACAATATTAAATATACATGTTCTTCTTTTAAATGTGTTATTACGAGTCAATTGAGTGTAAGATTGAACAAGGTGTGCATATGTATGCTTCTGTGCATCTGGTTGCCGATCGACAGTCGAGAATAGACAAAATGAAAAATGATCTTTTAATGAGGCGAACATACAATTCTATAATTCTTATTTTGAATCAGTCAAGAAAAAAAAAATTCCGATAGATACATACATATAGACACACGCGTATAAATATTTATCGAGACTTGGGATGACAACGTAAGTCATTATCATTTTCTCACTTATGTTCAGTAGCAGCATGCTCATCGATCATTTCTATCTGTCGTTTTTGAACAGCAGTGTATCTTCTTTTTCTGTTTAACAACAACGATTAAAAGAACATTGAGAGAGAGAGAGAAAAAAGAAGAAAGAAAAAGACGAATTAGATTTAATCATCTGTATTTTTCATGAAAATATGTTTGTTTCAAAAAAAAACAAGCAAGGTATGTGAAGACTATTAAAATAAGAAAAAAAAAAGAAAGAAAGACAGACAGAAAGAAAGATTAAAGACGAAGGTAACCTCAAGAGAGGCTATTAATCATATCGACCTGTATATTGTACGGTTGGAAGACGTCGTCATTCAACAAAATGTATTGGCGGGAAAGAAAAAGAGACATCAAAAAAAAAGTGAACAGATATATCGATAAGTACTCAATTACTGTTGTTTTCTGTTGACTTTTGAAGTGAAAATTCAAAACAAAAAGTTATTTCACTAATATAGAAGAACTTGTTTCGTACGATATTGACATTTGACATTGTATTGTTCATTCTTTTTTCTTTTGAATGGATTTGTCATAAAATGACGAAATTAGAGAAGGGCTCATTGAAAACGATCGTCATCCCCTTTGGAAATATTTTTAACCATAGAAAACATCCAAAAATGAGCTGATACTATCTCTAATGGGCTTCAAAACATGTTTGTGACTATGGTTACCGCATTACCTCAAATTCTTTGATATGCCACTGTTGTCACATACTTATTTAAGAAGATGAATCTTGAAATACAATAAATTAACGATCCATAAATACAACGGGTAAATTTGTTGAAATACAGTGCAGAAATTCAATATATACAATAAAACCTCTCATATTGGATACTTTTGCCAAGTACTAATAGTGTCTACGAAAAAAGAAATTTGACTATATTTGAACAGCTGTTAATTTTTCAAGAAGAAAAATTCATGAGAAGAAAAGTTACTATTGTTGGATTTTTTTTAAAATGCCGATCATTATTTTTTGAATAACTTTCGATGTTTCCCATCTATCGAAGTTGAATTTTCGCCATTAGATAGAGGAATGCACAGACATCTATCTATGTAATATTCATTAACTTCTCGGAAGTTTTTCAAGGATATTTGCAAGTAAAAATTTTGTCTCTTGCACAATTCTACAAGTTTTCGTAGCAACCTATGCGCAAATTTCATCAAAATACAACCCCAGAGTAAGCCATATTATCCATAAAATTTTCAATCTTTAGAAAACTTCTCTGGAAGTATGAGTTTATGGTGAGGGTGAAACAATTGAACAATTATATGGAAAATACACCACTCTTTAGAACACATTTTGATTGTAATTTGAACATAGATTGCTACAAAAACTTGTAGAAAATGCGTAACAGAAAGAAATGTTTACTGGCAAATGTTCTTAAAAACTTTCGGGAACTTGATGAATATTACGTAGATAGATGCCCACCGTATTACTCTATCGAATGGTGAAAACCCGATTTCAATAGCTAGAAAGTACCGAAAATTATTAAAAAAATTATGGTTGATATTTTTAAAAAATCTGACAAGAATGATTTTATTTACTAATACTCTTCAGATCTCTACAAAACACGTCTGTTTCTTTGAAAAAAAAACTTTTTATTTTATAAAAGAACTAATCTGCTTATAGTAAGCTTAAAGAATGTATGATTTAATGAGAGAGATAATTCTGCATGAAGTTGTTGCCTAAAAGATTTAATTTTATGATTGATAGCAGACATGAATATTTTCTGACAAGCTGTAAATATTCAATGATTTTCTTACATAAATATGTCACCAATTGTAAAATATTTATTAAGTTGTAATAAGTATTTCTGTGAGACAAATGAAAACATGAGTCCTTTCGACCTCTTAATCGTTAGATCATTGTCAGATTTTTAGTTGGTGTAATATTCAAGATCTGTCTCTTCAATAATGTTTTTCAACATTTCGTTTATCTACTATTCATCATCATGTTGAACAAATGTTGTATTTATACGACTTATTCGTAGACATCATTGGATCGCATATTAATTAAGGAGAACATAGAAGACTTTAAAAATCTCAAATGAGTTCATAAGATTTCATCAACTTCACGGAGCGTCATGAGAATCCAATAAACTTCAAAAACTTTAGGAAACGTCAAGCATTACTTCACATTTCTTACGA